TCTTCTTCTAACTCTAATCACTATCGGCAAAATAATTCTACCCTGTGTGTGTGGGGCTTGGGCTGGACTTTGTACCCTATGTTTAGGGAAAAGTAAGGTTACTTGATTTTCTGCTTTTGTAATAAACTTTAATAAGACTGTCACCCAGTTAAGAAGCATATTTTTTTTCTAATACACTTTTCTGTTTGTCTGTGTAGTCTAGTAATTTCTAGGCCAAATGAGTTCATGCTGGGAATAATTGTGCGTTTGTCATCACTTTGGGGCCCTTAAATATACATTCATTTTAAATGAATTTCACTTTAGGATGGCATTGGGCAAATGTCATTAGTTTCACATAATCACATTTTGAAATGGGGCTTCACCCATCCTAGGAAAGAAATTCTTACTGCCAGATAATGTGCTAGCAGAGGTCAAAAGAGGGTTCTGAATCTCCTTGATCTAGCGTTGCAGGTGACTGTGAGCAGCTGTACATAGATGCTGAGCATCTTCACTGATGCTTTACATTTTCATTTTCTAGCCTTGTCTCTCCTTTCTGTAGATCACTACTCCTGAGATGAATGGGGCATGTGTAGGCCTTACTTGCAATTAACTGCAGCCCAAAGCTGCAGAAGATCTGGTTCATAGTGTACAAATCATAAATAATAGTTGAATGCATGATTGAGAAAAATTCTATAAACATGTTAATGCATGTATTTAACATGAAACAAAAACCTATTTCTTGCACATTTGTCGAATTAAGAAACTTTTTTGTTGCCTGGAGATACTAGAATGAATCAAACAGAGGCCCCTGGTCACACATACCTCCTGGTAAACCCATTCTTTATCAGCAAGTTACTAAATTATGTATTGAAAGTGGAAGCATCTTGATAACTCTATGTATTATTAAATAATAAGCAAACTGAAATATGACATGACATAAATATGATTAACATATGCTTAATTTGTATGCCAATCCTCAAAAGAATGCTTCAATAAAGAGACTACCTCTTTTCAAAGAGATGAATCATGAATTATAACTATTTCCATTTTCAGTTTTAGCGGTTAACCATGTAGTTGCCAAAAGTAAAGTTTTATTATTACATATTGGGTGCATTGTGTGTGCACAACAGTCTATGTGTGACAGGCTGATCCTTTATTTTACCTGTCTCCTATTATGTGTGGAATCTTGTTCTCTTCTTTTTCATCAATGGGATCTGTTTAACAAGGTAGTTATTCCCTTTGTCCTCATGTAACATGCCATCAAAAACAAACATATTTCTCTACTGTTTTCTAATTACCACTTTTGAACACATTTCTTGTGTTATTTCATTTAAGAAACATTTAAGGATATAAATGTCTTATTACTTATGTATAATCATTTATAATCAAAGCCAAACTACTATACTCTACAAATCAAATAAACATAGAGACTAAATTCACTGAGAAGATTATTACATGTTTAATGTTAGAGAATGTGACCCACAAATACTAAGTAGAAAAGGTAGAGGTAAGAGTAAAGTCATATTATGTGCTAAGGAGTGTGGTTACATAGAAATTCTGGAAGAAAGTTTTTATTACATGACCAAGAACTGAAGTCACAGAAAAATTTCAGGGAGTCTAGAGTACAGGGAGGCTGGGAAAAATGTTCTATCAGTCCAGTTGCAGGTCTGCATTTACAAATGGAATTCAAGTAACTACCATATGTTATAAAATGTTAGATTAAAATAATTACACTTTTAGATTTAAAACTTTTAACATTAAATTTAAATTTAAATGTTAGATATTTCAAACATTTAAAACTTTATTTAGTGTTTGTATGTGTGCATGTGCATGTGTGTATGTGTGTGTGAGAGTATTAGAAAGAACATGCTGCAGCAAGAATGTGGGGCTTAGAGGACACTTTAAAGGACTCTGTACACTCCTTCTACCATGTGAATCCCTGGAACTAAATCAGGTCATTGGGCTTAAATGAAAATTATGTTACCTGCTAAAACATCTTACCAGTCTACAAACAAACAGATAAACAGACAGATAAAAGGACAGACAGAAAGATGAACAAATAGACAGATACACAGTTATATAGACACATAACAATTTTCATCTGTTCCTAATCTACTTCATAAAATTTAATGATTTGTTGGACGGGTTATAAAAGAATTAATCAATGGTCACAAAATAAATTTAGAAATTTTTTCTTTAGCCAATGTCATTTTAGAATTTTGGTTCTCAAAATAAGATGTAAATTTCAACAATAAAGCTGTGGGATAGCTCACAAATGAAAGAAGCAAAGGCAATTACTTTCAAACAGGGGAAAGTGTAATATTTGTCGGCAGGAAAGTCTTTCCTGATACTACCAAGAAATTAAGAGATGCTTGTGAGTGAATCCTTTTAGATTGATATCCATTAGAAGATATAGCACTGTGTGTTTAAAATAGTATGTTCAACTTTTTCCAGGTACTCTGTTGGGAAATTGGTATGTTCTCATTTCCTTGAAACTCAAATAACCAAACCCAAAGAACACTTTAGCCAAATACTGTGAAGAAAATAATGACCTTAGATTTTCCAAACAGTTAGTCTAGAAATCATTAAGCTGAATAAAACTCATATAGTTTTAGCTATAGTTATGATTAATCATTAAGGATTTCATATTGTTTCAAAATTATTTATTGTATAAGAAATTTAAAATAAATTCAAGCACTAAGATGTTAAAATATCAAAAACATAAGTGAAAATAAGTTTCATTAAATATTCTTTCTAGATAACATCTCTGTATTCAAATAGTCAACACTGATTGTGTATTTTAGTTTTATGCTTTTGGTATTTTATGACATACATAAGTCAACTTGAGCACACACACGCACATATTTATACATGTGATTTTTCATAACTATTAAAAGAATAAATAATGACTAGTACTTCTATGTACATTGCTTTTCCACTGGAGAATCACAAAAATGTTTCCATATCAATGCACAGCAAAATATTATAACTTTATATGCTATGACTGTAATTTTAAAACTTGTTTTCAGTCTTTGTATGATGTAGAAAATGACACTGTTTAGATTAAGCTTTATAAAAAGCACTGTGTTCTTATGAAATGTGTGCATCTGTTAATTTCACAGTCACTGAAGACCACACTCCATTCAATAAACTATGCAAATATCCAAATCCAAATTTATTGTTCAAAATATATTATCAACACTAGAGGACTTTAATAATATTACAAATACTAGAAATTTATTTTTTATGAAGTATGTTATTTTCTTTATGCTCAATCCTCTCCCACATTAATATATGAGAAGGAATATAGAGGTGCCTCTGCACAACTAGGAGCTAGAGTAAGAGGGGAAGTGTGAGAAAATGCAAAAAGATATGATGATAATAAAGTAGAATAATACAAATTAGATTTGAGAAATATATCTTTCATGTTTATAGGTCAGAAAATTAGGAAATTAAGACATGATTATTAAAAGTTAATATTTATATAAATTAGATGAAAGTCCCTTGAATTCAAGAGACATAAACTCAAAAGTGGTTTCCATAAAGAGTGATAGAGGTAAAGATTTCTCTTGTTAACTTTTTGAAAAATGAAGAATAATGCTATTAACAAAATTTATTTTTCCTTCAGAGAATATCTTGCACTGATGTCAGTAATTCTGCCTTGGAAACTGATAATGCAGTATAATAAAACATGACAAGGAGATCAAGAAATAAAGTCAAGGATAGATTAGGTGATCAAAGTATGGAAATGAGTCTCTCAGCAGGCAGATATATGAAAAGAATCTGAGTCAATCTTTAGGAATTAAAAAATCTGGATTTAAGCTTCAAGACACCTAAGAATCTGAGACTCATCTCTTAGTGAATGTTGAGGGTTGAGGATTTCAAAGTCTAGATCACCATGTAGTTGATTTTGAAAGATAATATAGAGCCTTAATTCAGGGATTTCAGACACAGATGACCAGACATTATGGGATTGAAAGGCTTTAAATTCGTAAGTAGAGACAGAAGAGTAATATTTAAGAAGTGTGGCTGATGGGATTGTCACAACTAGAGATGGCAATTGCAGTCTGATCTAGTAGTAAAGCTCTTCTTCCTCAGACCTCAACAACAGTTTTCAGCTTGTTAGGTTCAGTTTGATACATGGTGAAATACTTATCCTGAAAAATAAACATTCCCTCAAAAACACTTATTTTATTATCAAGCACAACATAGAGAGCTATGTATCAGTGTGTAGATGCTTCTGATTGAAATATTACTTCTAACAAGATATCTCTACCCATTCAAAGGCAATTAAATATGATATCACTAGACATTTTAGAAACTTAAAGGATTAGAAGAAGCATTTTTGGATTAATCATATATCAATGGGCTGCTTTCTTTCCAAAATAAAGTAAACTAACATAGTTTGTACAACAGAAATGACATGGCTTTCCAAGAGTTATTTCTTTATTAATGTCAATGTGACTAACTCAACACATAGTAACCCATCAAGAAGAATCATCCAACTCTAACTCATGAGCCAACCAACTGTAACGAAAATGGGCCTTTTCTTAATTGTGTGTAGAAGTATCCCCAAGTGATTGATAAGAATTATCACAGAGCAATTGACTATTTCTTATTTTGACAGTGCTCTTAATGCTGGCATATTCAAATGTTTTCACAGGACACAAAGAGGAACTTGAAACCTGAGGCTAAGCACAAAATGACTAGTTGTACACAGTGTATATTTTCAGAGCTTTCAAAATTCTGTGGTCAAAACCTTTCAGATGTGCACATTGATTTATTTTCAGCATTTTAAGTAAACTTATCCCTGTTCCTCAAAAAAACTGATGATATTTATGTTGGAACCTGCCATTTAGGCTTTCCTTTTTCTCTGCTTTGAACAACACTATCATTTCTTTCTTTCTTTCTAACAATAGCCATTCTAACTGGTGATGATAGATCTTTGTAGTTTCGATTTGCGTTTCATTGACAGCTAATAAAAGTGAGGGTTTTCTTCCCCCCAAGAAACATGCTGGCTGTTTTCTCTTGAAAACTATTTATTCATAACATTTGCCCAAATATAATTGCAGTTTTCTTGTTATTGAGCACTTTGCATTGTTTTATTCATTTATTTTGTTTCTCATTATGTCTTTGATCAGATTTTTATTCAAATAGGTTGAAGGTTTTCTCTATGGATGAAACAGATTTTGATGATTTCTGCAGAACACTTTTCTCTTGCAGTATGTTTTTTCTCTGCTGGCTCCTTCTCAGCTACTGGTTTCTTAGTAGCATGCAGCTACTCTAAGGCATCTTTGGCTTCTTGTGACCCACAGACGTCTTGCCTTTCTTGATCTTTGACTTCTGGAAGGACTCTGTGTCTGATTTGGCTTGCAGGTTGCTGCTGTTACTTCTACTTTTTGATTGAAGTTTGTGATATCTGGAATGGAGAATACTATCATTCTTGTGTATAGTCTTTGTGTAACGGTTCACTTTTAACATAAATCTCATGTTTGTCCCTGTATTCTTTTTCAAGACTTTTTGAGTGGTCATAAAGGGGCTCTTTGGATCTGTGGGCTTTTGAAGGTTTGTTAGTGTCTGTGTTTATCTGACTTGTGTATGTGGTGGTTATTTATCAGTCTTGTGTGCATGTGGCAGTTATCACTACTCTTAAGGGAATGAGCTTTACACCACCATGTTCCCTGCAATTCGTATAACTTTTGGAATGCACTCTCAATTTGAATGCAGAAATATCCATAAGCCCACCAGGTGATATTTTAAAACATTCAGCTTGCTTACATTAAGCAGAAAACAAGAGATGTTTCTGAAACCAATGCACTGGATTTGTGGTCAGGCCCTAATTTTGCCTTGCCTGCTCCCTTTGGCTGAGAGGCACAGCTAAAGATGTCAGTCCACATTTTATGTTCCTTAAGAAGTAGAACAGCCTTCTTCATCATCTTGAAATGATAAACACTACCTTCAACCTCCAGAATGGTTTAAGGACTTCTTCACCATGACTACTTTTTAGACATCAACAAAGTTGAGAAGGCTAAGCCAGTGAAGAGCGGAGAGCTTTGGTGTTTTGTTCATTCTGAGGTGGCAATGACACCAAGTTTCAGTTGCAACCAACTTGCAGCCCTTGCCAGAACAGTGGGTTTCACCATTCCATACCACAGGATTCAGCATGAGATTGATACCCTCCTTATTCATTGACCTATAGCAAAGAGCTATTTGTTGTTTTTCTGCCAGCTGATGTGAACAAAGTTCACAAAATCCAGTAAAATGGGAGCTTTGAACACAGATGGCAAAGTGACATTTTTGCCAGATAGCTCTGCCTTTTCAGAGTACACCAATATGAGGGTGCTAGCACAGGCTTTGGTGAGAAGAGACCTTGTTTTATTTTGCCTTTTAGAGACAGGGCATCACTTTGTAACTTTGTTGGGATTGAAGTGCCCAGGCTAGCTCCCAAACGTATATTCTATCCTATCTTGACCTCCAATGTGTTATGATCACTAGCATACATTTCCACACTCAGGTAAGTTTTATCTGTGTGTCTATGTGTGTGTGCATTGTTCACTCAAACTCTTGTGGCTTTAATAAACATATTGGTTTACTACATTTGAGTCGGTAGTAGACAACTAAAACATAGAACATAGAATAAATTGTACTATGCCATGGCAGGGTGCAGTGAGTATATCACAATAAATTACATATTTTGTGAGTTATTAGGAGCACCTCTAAGTTCTCAACTTTGCAAATTAATGATAAGAGGAAAGAAATAGTATGTTAAAAAGCTGATTTTTAAAGTTTAAAATATGACAAAGGTCAACTTTTCTTCTTTACTATTTATGTCAAATTCTGATAAACTACGCAGTTATTCTGTACAATCAAAACATAAACATACATTGACTCTAGTCAATCATTTGTTTATCAACCCCTGATATTACATTCATGAGACAAATATTTTAGACTTATTATTAGCACACTTATTAGTTGAATTCCAAAATCAGTAGGAAAATTATTAAGTAGCCTAATTTTGGTATTAATTGTATGTCATCAATCCAGAGCACATCAGCCCAGTAGAAACATGATTGCTGTTCAGGCAACATATGCTTTGCACTCCACTAAGCAATATTTATTTCAGGAAATGTGGTAAAGGAGTTGCTGCTAAAATTTTCTTTACTCGTTCATTTCAAAAGAAAACAACAATCCAGTCTCAATGTAATAGAAGCAATTTTTCTGGCCTTCAGCGTAAATTTGTTTCTTACTGCATTCCAAGAAACCATAAAGAGAGCATCCTGGTTGGTGTTGGTAAGAGGAAGCAGCATCACACCCGAGGCACCCAGCAAATGGGATGGAGAAGTTTTGCTACTTGGTTGAGTAGGTTCTACTTCAGCTGAACCAAAATTAAGTAACTGTGGACATTTTCAAGGTTTGATTTCTCCATGAATCCTTTGTTGCTGGTCCAGGAGATTTTCTTGTCTTTATGTTTGTCTGAGTTTACTTTTCCTATTGTTGTGCTAAATATTGTGACAAAATCAATGTAAGAGGCAAAAGGTTCTGGCTCAGAGTCCATTGAGGCAGAGCAGTCAAGAGGAAACAATTGGGCACATTATGTCTATAGGAGGAGAGCAGAGAACAGTGGGTGCATGCGTATCAGCACTCAGCTCCTTTCTACATTTGTACAGTTCAGGAAGGAAATGGCCCCATCCGCAATTAAATGGACCTTCCTACATCAGTTAATCTCAAGATAATCTCTCACAGCCTTGCTCAGAGGCCATCTTTTAACTGATTCTAGATTTTGTCAAGTTGACAATACTACCATAATGTCTTATTACTTTTTGAATGATACCAGGGGAAAGCAGTGTTTAGACTAATATTTTAAACCTGGAACAGACAAACAAACTGCATTGTGACCTTATCATAATGGCAATCTCACAAAACAGGTATAGGTAGAGCCAGAGAATACTCATTTTTAACAAGCGTCTGTAAATTTCAATGATATGTGGACAAGCTGGCCACCAGAGCTTAGTGGATGCTATACTCGCTGGAGTGCTATTTCCAGAAAATGGGTGCTTGGAACATTCTCTGGCATAATAAACAAACTAAAGTTCATTCTTCTAGGATTCCTTTCATGTGGCTACTGTCTTGCTTTAGTGAAAGAATCTGTTGGGAGCTGACTATCAGCTTTACAGCCATCTCAAGCCATATACTCTGGCAAGAGACTTGTTTTCAACAGCCCTCAACAGCTGAGCATACTCTGATAAACATCTTGTTACACTATTTAGTGACCCCAGCTGCAAGGTGCACGTGGTATACATGGCTACAAGGCATGTGATGTAGTGCCTTTAGTTGAGCTTGTCCACGATGGCAAGTCATGTGGTAAAGGGTATAAATACCCAGGATTTCCTTTCAATAAAAGAGACTTGAAGAGACTTGACCCCTCCATCCCCACTCTCTCTTTCTTGTAGACCCTGACCTGCAGACCAGAGCAGCAGAATGGGCCATTACAAAGTAGCAGAACAGGTCGTTACAAAGGAACGGGCTGTTACAGGGATCACGATGAGTTTACCTGTTTCCTGGTATTATGAGTATGTTTTTTTTCAGGTATTTAATGGTATGTAGAGCTTGATGGAAGTCAAAGAATGTTCCAAGTGACTGTTGGGACCTTGAGTTCTTGAATCTATCTTATGGTCAAGAGACTAAAAACAATTAAGAAACAAATATGTGATTCCATGTTTGTCCGGTACCATGTTATACCTGTTTACAAAAACTTAGCTGTGGATGAGAGGGTGATGAAAGACAGGATGAGAGAGAGGCAGTGAGGCAGAGAGACAGAGAGACAGACACAGAGACACAGAGACACAGAGAGACAGGGACAGTTACATAGAAAGAAAAATAAGCACATGCTGGCCCTGGGAGGGCAGAAAAAAGATAGCTACTCCTAGTCCACTGGCCTGGGTAGCCTGAAGGAAAACACTAAAGCACCCCTGCCAGCCCATGAAAGCCAAAAGAATGGCACTCAAGAACCTTCTGTGGGAAGCCACTGAGATGGATATAGGTGAGATAGAGAGGTAGGAAAGATGGAGTACATGGTAGAGAGATGGAAGAGAAAGGAAAGCTTAATGGGTTATATATACACTGTGGAGACAGGAAATAAAGGCTCTTTATGTGTGAGCAACAAGCAGTTATGAGGAGGCCATGGTGAGGTCCTGGCCCTGGGTGCTACCAAGGACCTTGTCTGAGTCTATAGTCCTGCTGCAGCTAGGTTCTATATTGATATCTGTGGCCTGAGTTACTACCAAAGGCCAGTCAGATGTCCATCATCTGAGTTGCCACCAGAGACCATGTGGATATCTGACAGCCATGCTTACTCAGGGGGGACATGCTGATCTTAGTTCTGTGATGCCACCGGTCGCCATGGGGACATCCAGGCACATGCTGCTGCCAGGGATCATGCCTAGGTTCATTCCCCTATGGCAGCTGTGTTCTGTGTTTATATCCCTGGCCCATATGACACAAAAGGACATGAAGGTGTCCCTGATCTGGACTGCTGTGATTAACTGGTCTTGTCCCTTGACAGCTACCAAACTTAGGAGATTAGTCCCTGCACCTCTCGTGAAGAGCACAGTGGAGTTGACCCAAGGACATGAAAGCAAGAGAGCTCACCCTGATGTTTTTGGCAAAGAAGAGGTGGAGGGCTGACCAACTCAGATATTTGACCAGATCCAGATATTTGATTTGGCCCACCCCAACATCTATTATATGAATTATCTGCTGGAGAACAGGAACGGGCCAGTTCTGTACATCCAAAGCTGCAGGATCTCCATGACATGAGGCAACAAGAAGATAATCAGCAGACATTCTCATGAAGATCCAGTATTAATAGTGTAGCAGCAGCCAGAGGTGTTGAATCAGACTAATGACTCATTATAATAAACATTTCAAGTGAATATAGTGTGTGACACTAAGAAGCACTATAGTTTCCAGGACAACATCTTTTGGTTGTTGTTGATAATGATGGTAGTGGCGGTGATAGTTTTTCCTCTTATTTTCTTTGTAGGGGGGAATATGAAGGGACACGAAGATGAATGGGATTGTGGTGCGTGATGGGAAATTCACAAAGAATCAACAAAAAGTTTAAAAAGATACCAAAACAAAAGTCACATTCAATTAATTTTTCTTGGAATTTAGATGGTTTTAAGAAAGTTATATTTTTAGTATTGAACTTTTGAGATTGTTATAAAAGAAAATTGTGCTAATGATGAAGCCCTTATCTAAGTCTCTTCAATGAAAAATGAACATTATAAGCAATTTGCTTTGTGACTAAATATGCGTATATAAACAACATACAGGTATACATGGAAACACTTACTCATAGGCTCCAGATGACATCACTGATCCAAAGAATACTTATGTTTGTTTGTGCATTCTATACTT